AAAGGCGAAATCAAGTACGAAAATGAAGACCATTGGGACCTAAAGGTTCGAAAGGTTTTGCCAAAAACAGGTAAAGTAATATATGCCTGGGGTGTAAGTACTTGAAAACGTGATGGACAAGAAGACTAAAAAGGACCCCAAAGGAAAAGCCAAATTAATCTAAGGTCAACTTTGCATGCGTGACTTTAAATCTTTGTTTCTTATAGTCTGAGTTCTACAAAAAGACAGAGTAATGCTTAACTATGTTGGGAGTGATGTTTTTAAACAATCAAAAAAAAAAGATAATAAGTGTCCCCAAAAAGAAGTCAAACAAACGAAATAATTTCTAAGCGACTCTGTGTTTCCACAAATCAACAAATGGCATACAATGCTTTTATTGAAAAAAATATGGTTTGAATTTTGTATGGCTTGGATACCAACGACGTTAAAATAGACATTAAATCTCATAGGCATCTTACAAGTGATTTTAATGTATTTGTTATTATTGGTAGAAGTAGTTTTCGTATAAATCAAGCCGATGACTTTTTCTTTTGAATCGTTCCACATTTTTGTTAACCCTGGACCTTCAATAGCTTACTCTACGGCATGCGTTTTACTCATTGTTGAATGCGTTACGGTGACATGCAGTTGTTTATATCATGGACCTTTTATATTTAGTGGATAGCTGTCTCATTGCCAATCATGCAACACCTTCGTTTTTGATATTTAGATTATTATATACTTAAAAACAATAAACACTAAAAACGGACGTCAAAACAAGAGAACAAATACTTCTAAGACTTCATCAATTTTATATCTTTTGTCAGCTGAAAATTTTTCGAGCATCAATATGAAAGTAATACTCTGTTTAAAACGTATTTCATGAGAGTAGTGCTCAAGTCTGCGATATCTGTACTCTTTGCAATGCAGACTACATTTTTTACAATATATATTTTAACATTTGATATAATTTTAAGAAAAGTTAGATAAAAGCGTACGAAGGGGGCAATGGAAAATCAGTCGAATAATACAGACAACATCATTGACTTGTCAATATAAAAAGGACGAATTTATCCACCATTTTCTACACAAGGAAATGACGGTACCAAGTCAGGAATATAACAGTTGTTTTCCATTCGTTTGATGTGTTTGAGCTTTTGATTTTGCCATTTTATAAAGGACTTTCCGTTTTGAATTTTCCTTGGAGTTCGGTATTTTTATTATTTAACTTTATATAGACAAATACATTAAACATAAAGCTAAATATCGGACAACAAGAACGCAATCAAAAACCGGAATCAATTCAAACGTTCCGTAATAGTCAGCATTTCCTGATTCACATGTCATACCCAACATTCTGATGCTCTTAAAATCCTCCGAAGAGTCATGACCGGTGATAAAATATCATACAATATAACTGATTGTCCAACCCTATAACAATACCAAAATACACAATCAGTGCACGTGCATTTTCTAACTATTATATATGGCTGAATGTGAACGTTTAAATGAAAAAAAGCAAGTGTTAAGGACACCATAACTGAGAGAAACAAAACAACTTTTGAAACAAATCTCACAAAACACAACCAAATAAAAACTAAAGCAAAGGCAGCACAAACCCCTTATATCTAAAACGTATGCTCCGCGCCGAAACTAGCACCCAGTTTTCTGAAAAATTAACTGCTGCGCCACCCCTCGCAACACTTATGTTTGCTGAAATATTTTAGATATACAATATTCTTTACTTTTCAAACAAAATTTCAATGGGCGAGGGGTGGCGCCACATATGAAATTATGAAATAAGAAAAAGATGATGAGTTTCTAGAAAAATGGACTAAAATGAAATCTATTCCTATTTCAGGCTAATATATCTATAATATATGAAGCAGGTATACATTTTTCTTATTATACTTTCAAAAATAATATATTTAGCAATACATACACAGTAAATTTACTCTAACAATTGAAGCTTTAAAAATGCACCTTTACAGTAAAGGGTCAATTATTGCGGTAACTGGCTCTACTAGTAGATATTGGAATTCAGATTTGTACTGGATTTTAATTAGCATAAATCAGAATTCTAATTTCTACTAGTAAATATTGGAATTCCGAATAGTATTTGTTCGGGAAAACTATTATCGTCCTTTGATTGAATATAGTCCCTAGTGTGAACAGTGTTTTACTTGCGACATTTATATATATATACCTTCCAAATTTATTTCTTGATGTTTTATGCATGAAATAGTAGGGGATGAAATTACACTATAAAATATAAAATCATGAATTTGAAGGTAAAGTTGGAATTTGATCCAGTTGAAAAAGGGCAAAAATGAGGAAATTTGAATCTGTCAAAATGATTGTCTCTGAACATAAAATTGCCTATATTTTGAGGTTAAAACTGATGAAGTTTTCTATCATTTTGATATGATTTGTCCCAAAAAAAGTACATTACAATTAAAAAAGTTATCGAGAAAGCGCTGGCGCAATGTTTTTAATTTGCATTTATTGTTCTAAAAAAAAGCATTACAAAATAACTGTGTTCCCAAACCTGCTGAATTCCAGTGGCATATACATATACCAAGAAAGTCATAGTTGAAAACGCCAGCCATGGAATAGCGTATCAAATGGGAGATATATTACCTCCTTGTAAAAAGCAATCTTCTATCAAAGAAATCATTAAGGAAATGTAAGCCCTAAAATATTGTATCAACTTGGGGATATTTACACCATATAAACCGGCTACTGGAATGTTGCTTCATTAAAATGCAATACTCATACTGGGAAATATTCATAACTTGTGTCGTAATAATTTGATCACATCGACCTTAGTTGTCAATATCTAGATTTAAACAAGATACGATAAAAAACCGAACTGAATCTGAATCACAAAAACTTACAACTATATATTCAATGACTTTGTTCTTTTTCCATCTTTCTCTTTCTATTTTTGCTTGTTTTGTTTTTCTCTAGTTTTTGCTGTCTCTTTCTTCAACATATAATTATGTATTGTTTTTCAATTTACATTTTATTTAATAAAGAAGTAGGCTCAAATCTATCAATGTTTTTTTTATTAGAGAATTCAGAAAAAGACTTTTTTTGTGTTCATGAGTACATGTAATTGTGTCTGATTCATGTCCTTGTTGTCAAAAAAATAAGATATGTCGACGCGAAAAGGAACACAGTTGATCCCATAAGAATGGCAACTGTTTTTTTGAAGAAAAATAAATATATATACGAAATGGCAAATATGCTGAATCACTCGCCATAATGTTAGAAAACTCTGATAAATTATAGGTGGATTTGAGATCGATTGTTTGTGGTGGACAATATTATCATATTGGGTTTAGTTCATAATTTTGTCTAAAGCTGTCAGAATACCTCATCGTTTCGGCAGTATTATTATTTTTTCATAATCGGTATTTGAACGCTGACTTTATTCATAACACATGTTTAAGAACTCCGTTTTTTTATATTATAATTAAGATACATTTATTTTTAACTTTCATCCAAATTTCTGTAGATTTATTTTTTGGACTTGCAAAACCACAGTGCAAAGAAAACTTGTAAATGTTCATACAAAATTTACAGATTTTTTTTATATTCACGTAATTTATGTATCAAACCAGGAAACAACTTAATCAATAGAGGTCCACAAAAAATAGCCATGAAAGTCTTAAATACATTTTTCTGGAGGGAAAAAGGAGTTAATTGCAAGATTTTTCATTTACAAATATTATGCTTTATTGTTAATGACTGAACACTGACTACGATACAGAAAGTCACAGCAAGATACTTGTTTCTCCATAAATGAAAACTGAATAATTGAATTATCAATCGAAAAAATATTTTTTTATGAAGTTTGTGATACAAAAAATGTAGACTGCTTAAAAATCGATATAGTATTTAAAAAAATAATTGGTAATGCATCCATTCATTTTCGTTTACTTTAAACACCAGTTAACATGTTTCATATTTCAAGACGCAACCCTTTAATTAAATTTATGATATTAAAATCAACTTAAAGAATTAAAGCATTTATTCGTATTATTACATTAGATCAAGTTTAATTTCAAGTGGTTTTAATTTGATCAGCATTTGTTTACTTCAAGGCTGTTTTAAATTCCCTTGGAAATTTAATAAGGTTTCGTATATTACTTTATTAAATTTCGTAATGAAATAATGGAATAAAGACAAAATAATTGAAAATCTTACATAAAAGTCTAAGTGATTGGGTTAATGTATAACATGGTACGGAGATACAAACGGGACAATGCTGTTGTACTGAGCAGTTAAATCTATGCTTTAGAAGTGATATTCTGTCGGCGCCGTGCACCAACTACATGTAATACACTTAGTCTGGGTTGCTCATTTGTATTGTTTGAATTATTCAACTCGATCTGTTTCTCTCACACACCCACCTAACCTCCTAAATCACAATTTAGTCTTGCCACTTATTTACCTAAGCAAATAGATGTTGGGTCGTTTTACGTCCTGTAGCTATTAGACGCTTACAGTGATTTGTACACTTAGTAATTGACATGATTGTGCGAGATGACAGCTCGTACGTCCTACCCTGAAATCAAATCTCACAACTACCTGTCATTAAGAAACTGTAGAAATTTCATTTCAAAAGAAATAACCATAATTGATTAAATTTGATGGCCAAATTAACTCTTTCATTCGACCTCTGATGGCAATTGATTGGCTAGAAATCGCTTACCAGGAGGTCACTGATGTTAAAGTCCGCCTCCCTTGTTAACACCATTAAATTACGACCATTGAGGTTGACAATAGATTAACTGATATAATACCCGAAAGGCTGCTCTTATTAGGAGTTAATTCTACATGATCGGATTAAGTTAAAAGACGTCTCCAGAGATCCAAGAATCAACAAACGGAACATTGACGGAAATCATCATCAGAGATTAGCCGTAATGTCACGCTCTTTCTTAACAGCACTCATGGGGCTTAATTAATATAACAGATAAAACTGTCATCAAAAGTATATAATATTTATTGATTTGTTATTTCTGTTTAAAGAAGATTGTCCGTGAGTCTTTTGAAAAACTTTTTAGAACAATGCATCAGATGGTAGCAACCAACGGCGGTTTCCACAGTATTAACGCTTTGTTAGGAATAAGAGAAGAGAACTACTGTGGACAGAACTGTGCGGAAAATAATTCACATCATCTCCAATTTCAAAGACATCAGGAAAAACTTCATCAGCAAAAGATACAGATGAAAAGAGATGCTTTTAAGAACTTGAAATTTCAAGGTAATTACTAATGAGTAAAACGTTGTTTTATGGTATCTAACAATTTTCAAGTATTATAAAATCAATTTTATATCATGGGTATGATACTGAACATTGTTGTTTAAAGTATCTCTATAGAATGTAATTGTCTTGCCAGTATTTTAAAAACCGATAATCATTATGATAATAGTAACACTAAAATAATTCCATAATTAGAAAATGGCAAATATACTTAAAAATGATACTTAGTGAAAGAAAACGACTGTTTTTTTTCCCTGAAACATATAATTTCACACACTTTTATATTACTAAATTATAAATACAATATAATATATAATATTATATTTTGAATACAATTATTATTCGAATTGCTGTTTATGAAGAATCTACTGATTTAAGGCACACTTTTAACACGAAATATGTATTAGGCAGGGTGAATATCAATTTAACATGGGATATGTACTAGGTCTGTGCACTAGTTGCTTACATCCTAGTTATTTGAACTCTGGTGGATAGTTGCCTCATTGGAAATCATCCCACATCTTGTGGTATTATACTGGAGAATATCAACATAGATTACCAAATCAAATTTTAAACGAAATACTAATGAGCAGTTTGTTGAAACTGGAATAAGTAGTTTTCCCCACTGGATACAACATTTTCAAGAAGAATTCCAGTGGAGAACCAACTTTAATTTCTTTGAGTATTTAAATATAACAAGCCAATTTGGTGTGCAGTTTAGCTTGTAGAATTTCATAAAACAAGTTATTTTAACCATGCGAAAAATTAAAATCTATCATTTGAAAATGTATGACTAAACTGGAATCTGTATAGTTTTTCTTTGTATTCCCCCTCAAGAGTACCATCCGCATAATAGCCAGTGCTAAGATACTGGCTTATTTTACTATTTTAGTTAAGAAACCATGTATAATTGTATAAAAATACAGGTTTTAAATCCCCTAAAAACGTTTACCTAACTTAACATATTGAAATAAAAAAACAAATCAACAACAATACAACCTTGATAGATCATGTTTGCCTGAAAAAATAGTATGTGAAAAAATGGAAGCAAAGTTTTATCCAAACACAAATGGCAACAATGAAATGGTGAACATATTTTTCTTGCAATTTTGAATATCATCTGTATGGTCGTTATTTTCGAATCAAGCTATATAGTTTATGCTGATTTCACATAAAAATGATCTCTTATTTTTTGTCTTTGATATATACCATTCCCGAGTTGATATACTAGTATGCATCATCCCCCAATATGTAATTGGATCGTTTTCTTGTGTCCATCTTCATATACAACTTTCTTTATAAACATACGTAAAACGATCTTATATTAAAATCCATGTAAAACTATAAACAATTCAGATATATCTTCTTATTTAATGTATAGAAAGGTTTTAATGCTGTCAAACCGTATTTGGCTTTTTTGAACATTTGGTCTTGAGCGAACCCGATTAAGGTTATAACAGAAACGCGTTTTTGCGCACTGAAATTAAATGAGGCATTTTTTGAAATCTTGTTAGATTATTTAGAAATATTATTAAACTATTGTGTTTCAAAGATCTCTTTTGACAATGATCAGAAAATTATGCATAAAATAAACAATGTCAAGTTTCATTTTGAAATAAAATAATAGATTATAAATTGGAGATTTCAGAAAATCATCTGGTGACTTCTTTCAATATTTTTAATCCAGATACATGCAATTACCATGCAATAAAGTAGCATTTGGATAGGAATGTCGCCCCCTTGTTGGCAAAAAGGTGTTAATAGCGATTAAAATATGCTTAAGCTTTAAAGCAAAACATAAAATTTTCTTTAAATTTGGATAATCATGATGAAAAATATATAAAACTTGCCGAACGGGGAATTCTAAACAATGCTGGATGCAAAATACAAATTTTATGGTTCAATTTGTCCCCGATGATATCTCACAACTTCGGTATTGACATGATTTATAACATACATTTCTAAAGTTCTCTTTGATAAATATTTTAAGAAATTATTTTGGCGATTTATAAGGTTCCAAATCACTTATCAAGGTTGACCTTGTATTAATTTGACTATTCTTTATTGGTACCTTTTGGTCATATAGTTGCTAACGTTTGTACGTATTTTTACATCCCTGGAGTCGGTTTCACAAAAAAACTTACGACTAAGATTGATCGTAAGTATACTGAATTGTTCATGACTTACGATCAATCTTAGTCGTAAGTATTTCTGTGAAACCGACTCCTGGCTTTTGAATGTTTAGGTTTGAGCGTTCCTGCTGAAGGCGCCAGTCCAAATTCAGGAACCTATAGCCTTTGTTAGTCTTATGCGTTTTTAAAAATTTATTTCATCTGTGTTTTTCAGAGTTTAGTGTGGTGTCCATTTCGCTTAAATAGTACACATCATTGTTTAGGGGCCAGCTGAAGCTTGCCTCCGGTTACGGGATTTTCTCGCTGCGTTGAAGACCCATTTGTGGCCTTGGGCAGTTTTCTGCTCTTTTGTCTGGTTGTTGTCTCTTTGACACATTCCCCGTTTCCATTCTTTATTCTTAATCGAGAAAAGCGCTTCGGACGTACGTTTCTAAGGTGTTTATTTCATTTACAACACGGTCTCATTGAATGAAGGTTAATTTACCGCTCATAAGTATGTTTACTCCTGCCATTAAATGAAGGTTAATTTACCGCTCATAAGTATGTTTACTCCTGCCATTGAATGAAGGTTAATTTACCGCTCATAAGTATGTTTACTCCTGTCATTGAATGAAGGTTAATTTGCCGCTCACAAGTATGTTTACTCCTGCCATTGAATGAAGGTTAATTTACCGCTCATAAGTATGTTTACTCCTACCATTGAATGAAGGTTAATTTACCGCTCATAAGTATGTTTACTCCTGCCATTGAATGAAGGTTAATTTACCGCTCATAAGTATGCTTACTCTTGCCATTGAATGAAGGTTAATTTACCGCTCATAAGTATGTTTACTCCTGCCATTGAATGAAGGTTAATTTACCGCTCATAAGTATGTTTACTCCTGCCATTGAATGAAGGTTAATTTACCGCTCATAAGTATGTTTACTCCTGCCATTGAATGAAGGTTAATTTACCGCTCATAAGTATGTTTACTCCTGTCATGTAAAACAACGATATGTGGTATGATTGCCAACTATGACAACTATTCACAAAGGACAAAATTTAAAGACAAGACTAAAAAAGACCCCAGTATGAAAATTGTGAAACAATTCAAAACGACCTGATTTATATGACAGCTTTGAACGTACAAATTTACGACAGACAGCAACCAATGACTACTACTGGATTATAGTGTCCTGGCATGGACAGGTGCATAAATAATGTGACAAGGATACACATATTTGAGAGATTTCAAAATAAGAAAAAAAAACCTGCTATATTCAGCTGGAAAGGGCTTGATTTGTCTAAGACAAAAAAAAATTTAAAAAAATGAAAAATAGACAAACTACTGATCTATGAGTACCCGCTTTTCCTGATTTTCAAATAATAAATAAACATGTTGTCCAAGACAATGTTCTTTATATTATTTCCCCATGCATGACACCTGTAAACTTCATGTTACATTTTTTTTCTCTGGTTACCGATAGTTTTGTCTTTTGATAAATTTTGACATTGTTGTTTCCTATAAAAGCGTACAGTAGAGGTCTCCTTTGATTGAAGACTGTGCGTATTCTATGCTCATGGTCATTACCGGATAGCTGCCTTATTGGAAGTCATAACATATTTCTTAATTTGTGTATTATAAACAAAATAAATCCTTACATATTGTGCAGGATTTTTTGAAATAAAAAAGAATTAATAAAAAAAAAACATTCGGTTTATGTAGACCGGAAAATATGTTTAAAAATGAAATAACAGTCCTGCAATTCAATATAATTAATTATATGTGATTTTTTACTGTATACATTAAGTTACATTGACAGAATAGTTCTACCATTCCTATTGCAACCAAGTCAGTTGAATTTGGATATAAAATAGATGAAACGTATTTTTATAAAAAAATAAGAAGATGTGGTATGATTGCCAATGAGACAATAACCCGAATAATTCAGTCCCTCCCCGTAATCGATCTCTCCTACTGATGGAGTAATCGTAGATCAGCGGAATATAACGACTGAATTATTCGGGTTAATGAGACAACTATCCACCGGATACTAAATGACGTGAATGTAAATAACTATATAGATCACCGTACAGCCTTCAACAATGAGCAACACCCACACCGTAAAGTAAACTATAAAAAGGCACAGACATGAGAAAATGCTTATTTCTAATCATTATATTAACAATACCGTACAGATACTTCAAATTACCAAAATTGCAAGCAAATAGAATAGAGAATGGAAACGGGGAATGTGTCAAAGAGATAACAACCTAACCAAAGAGCAGAAAACAGCCCAAGGCCATCAATGGGTCTTCAACGTTAACCCTATTTTTTGTGGGTTCGTATTGCTCAGTTTTCTATGTATTGTTTTGTGGACTTGTTTGTCTTTTCGTCATCTTTCTATGTTGCCAAGAGCGTTGCCAATTTTTTTTTCGATTCGAAATTTGGACGTCCTCTTGGTATCTTCCGCCTCCTTTTTACACATAATTTATGTTAAAAGATATACACAGGTCAAGGTTCAGATTGAAAATATAGTATATCATTAATCAATCTAGTTCGTACAATGTAAATCTAGGGGAAAAAGGTAAAAGATGACTTACTATTCATATATAAATACTTATCTCGTACAGGTGTAAAATTAAGAAAATGGAAAAATTATGTAGGAATGTAAAAACAAATCAATTTGGTACCATTCTCAAAAATAGTTTACAATGAAAAGTGTATCTTTGATATCCATCAAAACTTTGTCTCTTACACGTGTAAAATTAAGAGAACGGGAAAACTATGTAGGAATTTAAAAAACAAATCAAGTGTTATTCTAAAAAATCTACAATAAAAACATATTTTAGAAATAATTTGGATTAATAATTTAAATTATATATGCTGAAAAAGATACAACACTTCATACATTCAATTCATAATTTGTAATCAAACAACAGTATTTGCGTTAGCCTCTTACACTGATTGCTCTTTTATAATGAACCAAATATTTTTTTTCGATCTCTCATAATATTTATTTTTTATAATTTGAGTAAACAGTTTGAGTCATCATAAACGCCTATTTTGCTAAATCAGTTTTGAACAATTGTTTACTGTTTGGTAAATACCATGAAAGGCACGCGACACGGCGGAGGCTTTTATCATTGTTAGAGAACTGTTACAGGCGTCTGATGGGTGTTCACTAACACTATTCCCACTATTTAAATCTCTTTTGAGAGCCTTTTTAGAATTTTCGCACAATATGTGTCTCGTCATCTATTTCAATTAATTTCATTTTAAAAACTAAAATATTTAGGAAAAATCTAGCATATTTTTTAAATATCTTTCAACTTTACTTTTTCACTTTATTTCTATTCCCTTTTCCACAATCCATCCTTCGAACTTTACTTCCCTTGATATATCAGGTAAAAGCTTCCTAACCTATCAGGGTAAATAGTGAGCCAAATACTGAAACTCAAACGACGATACACGAACGAAACAAATAAATACCAACGTGTACCGAAAACAATAAAGTGTAAACGGACAAACAACATGGTATAAGCACCAACATTAAGTTTTACGGATAAATAATACGGTGTACAGATAATCAGCATGGTGTAATAAATAATACGGTGTACAAATAATCAGCATGGTGTACGGACAAACAATAAAATGTAGACGGATAAACAGTCAAGTGTACGGACCAACGATCAGTTGTTTAGATAAACAGGTGTATGGAAAAATCAAGTGTACGGACCAACATTTAGATGTATACGGACAAACAATCAGATGTACGGACAAAAAAATAGGTGTGCCGAGAAACAATTAGGTATATAGATAAAACATTAGGCATAAGCATAAATCGTTATGTGTACAGACAAATAATCAGGTTAACAGACAAATAATCAGGTTAACTGACAAATAACCAGACGAATAGACGTATTTGAATAGCTAGCTTTTAAGGTTTGTATTCGTTGTAACTATCCAGGTTTTTAAGGTTGATTGTTATTCTTAGCATATATATTTGAAGAGGAAAGTCCAATTCTTGTTATTCAATTGAATATTTATTTGAATTCTATAGATAAATTTATTTAAGATTTTTGAAAAATCTTTAACTATACTTACTTATTTCGACTCTTTAATATTAAATTTCACCGATAAAGACCCTGCGAGTGAAACAAATTCGGTGATGAATAAATAAATCAAACAAACAAACAAACAAACAAACAAACAAACAAACAAACAAACAAACAAATAAATAAATAAATAAATAAATAAATAAATAAATAAATACAGTCAGTTTAAATATTGGAATTAATCTGAAATGTAAAACATTTCACATTATTTACTCGAGAGCGAGAAAAGGTATTTAATCCTGGTTAAGAGGAAGGATCGCTAGCCCCTTCATTCAATTCACTCATAGTGTCTAAATAAAAAAGTTGTAAACATTTGAATATTCAAAAGTTTTTTTTAGATATTCTTAAACTTTTATCGACAACTTTACATTTTTTTCATCAATCGCTTTGCTATTTTGGCGATTTTGATACATTATCAAAAACTTTACATATAGAAATTTGTATCAATGGATATGTTTAACCAAAATTAATTAATCGATACCTGAAAGACAATATAAGCTTTACTTCCATTTTACAATTTCGATTTCAATTAAACAATTTTCGTCTTCTGATTTTTTTGGATAATAATTGAAATTTGACAACAGACTATCTAAATTTTAGTTTCCAGCTTACTTTTAACATTAATAAGTTGGCCGAATGTTTAGAAATAAGTCATTATTTTATTATAAGCTCACATATGAAGTTTGATACAGAAAAATTAGTACAGATTTAAAAAAAAATTAAAATGACCTTGGCGTGATAAAAATTCAGGGTAAAAAATGTCCTTTATCTAGAAATGAATAAATCTGACTTACGCGTTTTTCAGTGCTTTTTATATAATAAAAAAAAGGTTGTATGGATAAACTGGTATATTTTATGCTAATTTTAGAAATAGATAAATCTCAATTTTCCACTGCTATGAAGAAATATAACAAACAATTTGTAAAAGATAAACACAACATTATGCCATGAGCAATACAGTACGGGTGGCGAAAACTGTGAAAACATCAATTAAAGTCCTTAAACTGATGTAATAATTTCACATGACTAGAAATATGGGTTCAAATTTCTCCCATTTCCATCTTTATTTGATTAAAACATAACATAATGTATTTAAGCCATCTTATTTTAATAAGAGTTGACAAAAACAGAAAAATAGAGCATTGCACGGGTTAAACCACATACGATCTTACACTAGAGAAAAATGGAAATATAACACTTTTTTATAAAGTCTCGATCACTATTAAAAAGAGAAAAATGATAAAAATGCACTTAATTTAAATGTTAATTAAAAATCATTTTTGGGCATTGAATATTTAATTAAAGTTTACAATACTATAAAATGACAGAAAACAAGAAAAGCATTCCAGTAATCATGTTTTATAAATTTAGATGAAAACATAAAAATTAAGAACTTTGTGAAATTATTGTCAATGTCATTATAAAATTACTTCTCATTAACATAAATCCAGACTTTGTTTTCGTCACTCACTCAATTGACAGCATATGATCAGTTAATATTTCCTGCAGAAACACCTAAATTTACACCAATTTTAGTTGGATCCAACGAAGTTTTGTTTTATTCTAATGATTTTTGTTGTTGTCGGTATCTTTTTTAGTGCGGAGGACGTGTGCGCCTTTGTGCATGTAACACGAAAGGACATTTGCGATCCAAACATGATGGACACGTGCTATTTAAATTTTGATTATACGTCTGTACTGAATTGGTCGGACATTTGGGCTTTTTACCTGTTACTAATATATCGGCTGAGCAGCCATCATACAGTAAATGAATGACAAATGTTACAGAATCATTTCATGCCCACTTTAATAAACAGTTTTACTTAACTCATCCTGCATTTTTTCTATTGTAAACAGTCATATCATAACCACATCACAGATTAAGGTCTCTTCTCAACATTTGAAGGTCCCTTCTATGTATTGGTTACATAAACTACACAAAAAAACCCGTAAAATATCGTTCCACCCCGGCCTCTAGTAAGTGTTCTACAACTGATCTTTCGGTGCTTTTAACTATTTACTTAGCTTCTATCAAAGAACTTAGCATTATCTAATGTAATAACTTAACACATATGAAAATAGTGGAATTAACTATTTTTGGAGTGTAAAAAATTCTTTTGTATTTTTGAAGAGTATCATTGAACAGCAATCCGTCAACTATACATACACATCAATTATATTGTGCCGTCAGTCAGGAAATGAAAGATGTAATATTTATTTGAAATTAGGAATAAATTCCATTAACGACAGATTACACGAGTCAAATCTGTTTTTTCTTTGGGTTACAAGTATCAAACCAAAACTGACCTGTGATGACTGTTCGTGTCCTAAATGTTTTTAGAATTTTATAACTATAAGCTGTAAATAAAAATATAAATATGTTGTGCTTTGAATATTTATTGACTACTAAATTTTAACAAAATGACTTAACTCCACCAGGTCAACCCTAATACAGGAGATGTCATAACATTGAGGCGTAAATATCCCATTAAATAGAACGTTCTTTTACTAATGGCTCCTGGAGGATCTATACAATAAAATATCTACCCGATTGATTGTTTATTGCATAAGGTCCAGTGGCAAATGTTTCATGCATGTTTAGGATGAGAACAAATTAATGATAAACACAATAGGAAGGTCCTGTAATAGGGGTCGTGCGGGATGAAGGTCGGGAAATTTGGACTGCCACCGAAAAAAATAGGGTATATGAATGTCCCAATTCTGACCGGACGTAACTGCGAATTTATACATCCCACACAGCCAAACGGACGACCCACTTTTACAAGGGTTTTATTATCGTTTTGAAGATGACCACAAGTGTCCTTATTTCTATTCCCCAGTCACCCTTGTTATTCGATTTATTACATCTAAAAACAGATTGTTTACAGTATGCATGAACAAAATCCATGATAAAAAGTGGACCATGGACATTGTTTTGTAAAAAGATACATTATGGGATAATTTCTATAGATTGAGATGATATTTGGATGGTAAAATCTACAAAAAAAAGCTTGGTAGTTACCGTGGAGTCATAGAAATGTTCTTAAACTGCCTCGTCCCAAATAAAAATCTGCGGCGATTTTAAAAGAAAATTTTTATGTATGGCGCCTTGGTATTTCTAAAGCAATTTCAAATTATAAATTAATAATATTTTTACTTTTTTCCACGATAGAAAAGATAAGTAAACTGAGGAAAGACCAGGACAAATCCGATGATGATAAAAGTGATGATTCATCTGATCCAAGGAAAAAGTCAAGACGAAATAGGACGACATTCACTACATACCAACTACATGAATTAGAACGAGCTTTCGAAAAATCCCACTATCCAGATGTATACAGTCGCGAAGAGCTGGCTTTAAAAATCAATCTTCCGGAAGTTCGTGTTCAGGTAAATACTTTCATATTGTCACAATTATTATATTATCTCTGTTTGTTGTTTTAAGCTATCATCTCCTTTTACTTGATTATGGAACACATATTATGTTATATTGTGTATATTGGAAAAGAAAAAATCTCTTGTAAATAGGTCAAACCTTTTTTTATATTATTATATTTCCATTTTTCTTTATCAAACATACTTGCAAAGCGGTTTGTGTTTGTACCGGCCGACAAAGCAGCCAACAATGTGGTGGTGGTATGACGTAAATAATACACGGAAGTTTTAAAGAATGAAATTATAAATTCTTCTACATACAGGTCAGTGCGCTCCACAGAGAGTCGTATAGTAAACAGTCATATCATAACCACATCAAAACTTAAGGCCTTTTGTCAACATTTGAAGGTCCCTTCTATGTATTGGGTACCTAAACTACACAAAAAAAAACCCCGTAAAATATCGTTTCATCTCGGCCTCTATTAAGTGTTCTACAACTAATCGTTCAGTGCTTTTAACTATTTACTTAACTACTATCAAAGAACTTAGCATTAACTAATTTAATAAAACATATGAAAACAGTGGAATTAACTATATTTGGAGTGTAAAAAATTCTTTTGTCTTTTTGAAGAATATCATTGATCAATTATATTTATGAGCGCTCAGTCAGGAAATGAAAGATGTAATATTTATTTGAAATTAGGAATAAATACCAATTACGTCAGATTACACGAATCAAATCTGTTCTTTCTTTTGGGTTACAAGTATCAAACCAAATCTGACCTGTGATGACTGTTCGTGTCCTAAATGTTTTTAGAATTTTATAACTATAAGCTGTAAATAAACATGTTTTGTGAGATCTCAACCCTCCCCCTATACCTCTAGCCAATGTGGAATAAACAAACACACAGCAATACGCACAGTAAAATTCAGTTTAAAAGAAGTCCGAGTCTGATGTTAGAATAGGTAACAGAAGAAACTAAGCAAAATGACAATTATCAACATAAATTAACAAAGTACTACTAGCAGTTACTGACTTGCTAGCTTCAGACCTCAATTAAACTGATTGAAAGATTATGTCTTCGTCATATGAAAATCAAGCACAATCCCTCCCGTTAGGGGTTTAGTATCATACCATCATAAAATATATGAGAAGAACATAACCCGTATCATGCCAACAGCTGGTTTTTGGAATAAATGTGTTTATTTTCGATGCAAAGACCCTATGAGTGAATCAATATCAATTCCATAAAATGACAACAGTATCGTAAATATATATTCCTTCTGAATAAGTCCGTTTAAAGGTTTAGTTAGCTTTTGAGGTGAATGACGACATTTTTGTGCTTTGTATAGAATATTACCATAAAAGATGGGATGTGAAATACCTGAATAAGATGTCTGCACGTTGATTTATATTTACGAATGATAAAATTTAGTATATGCTTTGACAAGTTTCTGATATCGAAAACCCTGGTGTAATAATTTTTCAGTAATACAGAAATTTCTTTTGTTAAAATCAAATACGTTGTTACATACACGAGCGAATCGAACAAGTTGAGATATATAAACACCATATGCACGTTTCGGCAATAAAGTGTATCGACAGGTTGTATGTATTCCTATGGGCACCAATTGCGCCTCTTAAATGGCAGACTTGTTCCTGTACTGTTATGAATCACAGTTTATGACCAAACTCAGTAAAGACCAGTCAAAATTGCATTTAATTGATAAATTCAACAGCACTTATAGTTATCTGGATGATATTTTTTCGTGAAATAATCGAGAATTTTCTAAATATACTGTCGAAATTTACCCAAAGGAACTTATTTGAATAATTAAATATAACCGGTAATAACTGTCCTTTTCTAGATTTAGATATTTCAGTTTTACACGGGAATTTCTACACTAAATTTTACGACAAAAGGGACGATTGTTTCTTTCCCTATTATTAATTTTCATTTTTTGGATGGTGATGTTCATTTGGCACCATCTTACGGTGTTTATATGTCACAACTCGTTCGGTATGCCCGTGTCTGTAGTGACGTTTTTTATTTTAATGAACGTAATCTATGTATTACTGGTAAATTATTTAGTCAGGGATTTCGTTACCATAAATTATTTAAAGCCTTTACTTAATTCTTATATAGCAATGCACAAGGTCATGTTTTTCTCTGACTGTTAATGACGCCTTTACACTAAATCCATTGGATGTTGGATGTGTACTGATTGATACTTTAGTCTTAGATACATGATTTTTTATTAGTTGTTATTGGCTTTGAACTAGCTGTCAGTAACTGCGAGAACTCTCAGATCTGTGCTTAGTGTCTTTTTTGTTGTAGGGATGTATAAGTACCCTACCACGTCCGGTTTGTGTTTTCTGATCGATCTGATGAGTTAAGCCCTTTTCAACTGATTTTTATGATGTGTTCATATGTTGTACTGTTACATCACTGTCCCAGGTTAGGGGGAGGATTTGGCGCCCGCTAACATGTTCAACCCCGCCACATTCCGTATATGCCTGTCCCATGTCAGGAGCCTGTAATTCAGTAGTTGTCGTTTGTTGCTGTTTATCATATTTGTATTTCGTTCACTGTTTTTTTTGTTTACATAATTCAGGCCGTTAGTTTTTCTCGTTTGAATTGTTTTACATTTGTCATACAGGGCCTTTTATAGCTGACTATGCGGTATGGGTTTTGGCCATTGTTGGAGGCCGTACGGTGACCTGTAGTTGTTAATTTCTATGTCGTTTGGTCTCTGGTGGAGAATTGTCTCATTGGCAATATACCACATCTTCTTATTTTGATATATATCCAAGACTTTCAAATTAAGCAAATCTAACAACAAAAGTAAATAGAAATAGACATTTTACTAGTACCAAATGTACAGCCTTTGTGTTTTGAAAAGCGACCGAAGAGTCATTTTAACAAGGACGTGTCCGTTACTTTTGAATACGAACATATACAGAAAAATCAACATGTATCTAAAAGTAGAGAAAAATAGGAAGCACAGTATGTATGTATTAAGTGTAGTCAACACGAAGAATTTGTTTACGAGAATAACATTAGAAAAAAAAACCAATAATGTAACCAGGCTGTCTTGATCCCATAATTTTTTCCATCTGTCCTCTTATAAAACATTTTCGTAAGGGAAATTATAATAAATAAAAGGAAACATGACGAATACTAATTTAAAAAAAAGTCAAGCTTTGATTTTGTAAACTGTAATGTTTGTTTTAATTTGTCAGATTTTTGTGACACAAGAAAGCACAATTACAGTAGGAATTAAACAATTACTCGCTGACACAAATTTAGAATGATCCCTGCGGCGTACCATTGGTCCGTCCAAATCACAACTCCATTATCCAATTTGGGTATTGTCAATGATTTTTAACGTGTGTAACATTGAGTCTAACAACAGAATTTAATATCATTAGTGGTTATTTGAGATCGAATAATGAGGTTTTATTAAAAGAAATGAGGATATTAGATAAATTATAGGGCTCTCTAATGCAGGACCCAAGTGTGTGTAGGATCTAATTGACTTAGCGTGAACCTCTTTAGATGGGTAAACATCATATTAGACGAACTTAGACAGCTGTCAACACTGTGTCTCTATGTCTTTCTGTAGCAGGAAGATGCACTATTTTACTCCGAGGGACTTGGCTGAAGGACTCCAATTATTCCTCATATCAAGCGTTTGATTACTGAATTAGAAACACGAGCTATTAATCGCTTTCAAGGGTTTATCAATAGACAAATTTTAAAATTGATCTTCTATTCAGTAAAGAATATTAAAAAGATACCCCGCCGTTGATCACGCCTTAAACTATTATGCGAGAAATCAAATAATGTTAGATTTATTTGAAGGCTATGTATTGACAATAACAGAAATCTGTATTCATAATGGCGTCAAACCATCTGACGTCCATTGATTCTGTCATTAGATCAGACAAGAAAAAAATGATTATGAATTATAATATATTCATTGCATTATCCAATTTTTGTCTTCAAAGTCCACTACCATTATAATACAAAACATCAAAGACCACCGAAAAAAATATTATTTCAACATGGAAAGGACCTTACACAAGTAACAGCTTAAACATCTTATTAAAATCATGTATAGGTATAAAAATTGAAGTGAACTTGTTACATTTTTCATTGTCTTTCATAAAAATTTAAAGCATCAATTTAAAATTTGAAGATTCAATATCAGGTAGGTAGGAGGCATATTTACGACTCTTTCATAGGCTTTTAGTTATAACTATAACGTGTCTAATGAAAAAGTAAAGATAGAATATTAAACATCCAGAACAAAACTTTTATTAGATGTAATAACTAATAATATGAAAAAAACATAAAACGTAAATTGAAAAAAAAAAACCACTGAAAATTTACATCAACTTGGAAAGAAATGAAATGGTGTTAATGTAAACGGGACAGAGGAATACTTGAAATAAATCAAATAAACATGTTCTAATAAATATAGAAACAGAAATATAGAAGGGAGAATGCGAACACTGGTATCGACATTAACGGTAATATAATCGATACCCGCACATTTTGGTCCGTAGAAAAATATGCTGGTGTAATAAAATAATATCACATTTAAAATCATACAATAGCTACAAACATACGAACCAAAACACTATCAAACAACAATAACCAACTTCGAACAAACACATGGCACAAGACCGAAACGATGAGCCGAATTTTCAACGTTCTAGATTACAAGGTATCATACACAGTCCACAGGAACACTTAAAATTAACTAACTCCAAGCCAACCAGTCTCTGTTCTTATCCCTAAATTCCATGGGTTCAGCGGAGAAACAGCAAATATACCCATGTATATCAATTAGGCAGCGATATGTTGCTGCAAGCAGTGCATAGAAAGTCATTACTGCCTAAAACAAGCGGGATATTTTAAAATGTCATATTGTACATTTTTTGTGGGTTACAACTTCAGTGTTGCAACAAGTCAGAGTGTCACAATTTTGTTTTCTCATCTTCATATCTTTTATACACATTACTGACACAAGTTAAATATGTCACTCTCTGTGTCATCACCTAGTTGTAAACTCACTATCATGGATACATTTTCATACCTTTTCAGAACATCAATGTATATATTATACATTGTGTGTCATAATATATCTTTTTATAAGTCACTGTTAATTCAATACGATAAAAAAAAGTATTATGATTAATTGAGAAAATATGTTCTCCAACTGCGTCACATTCATTGACATAACAATGGCTTCTTGTTAAATATTTCAAATTTTACTTTAAACAACACAAAATATATAGATGGCGTTTAATACAAGGTATTTAGTCCTATTGTATGCTGTAGGGATTGTCATTGTTAAAACAGGAGGAGTTCAGGAAATACTGCACACATACAGGTTACTTGCAATTAAAATACAAAACATGATGTATACGTACGGTTTTATTTTGCTGCACACTATATATAAAGTACTTTCCGATTTAAATATTCATTCATTATTTTACCAACTTATGTTTCGGGTGATGGTGTAGGAAGATACCAATAAGGCAACGATCGATAGTGAATGTTAGAACAACACAATGGTCAAAAGAATAAAGACGAAACTTGGCAATAGAACAAACAAATTAACAACTTATAATTAACTAATACTTATTTTTGCAGGTATGGTTCCAGAACAGGAGAGCAAAATGGAGAAGACAAGAAAAATTAGAAAGCTCTAGTCTAAAAATAAACGACAATTTCCCGTTAAGTTCATTATCAAGCAAAACCTCGTGTAATTTTGGTTCATCACTGCCACTTGATCCTTGGATGACTGCGCCTATATTAAATTCAGGAAATCCATCAATGACATCCTTAGCCACGCCCTCATCAATTGCAGGTGGTATTTCATCATATGCTCCTTTCATTGCATCGTCAATTTTCAACACAACAAATTCAAGTTTACATGGTTTTCAAAATGGACTGAATGGTATAGCCAAAGTGAGTGACATGGACCCTAGAAACTCAAGCATCGTGTCTCTTAGAATGAAAGCTAAAGAACATGCTGACAATTTTGACCGGAAATATTGAAACCGTACGACTGATACTGGATATAGTTTATGTAACTCGTTTAAGTGCTTATTAACTTTACTTTAGTTCATATAATATGACAAAGGTTTTGTTGTTTTGGGGGAGATAATTCCATTTTATTTTGATCTAAGATTGTATTCAGGGTATTTCAAACCAAATGACTATGGGCGCTGCATAATACGCACTATCATATGAAATGTTTTTATAATTCAAAACCACAAAAATAAACCATTTCGCCATTGACCAATCCTTGTAGTTATCTGCATACAGTGGATTCTTCGAGTATAGATGATATTTTGTAGAAAACTTTAGCAGAACTTTTAAATTCCATTGGCCGTGAAATTTACTCTATGAACAGTACATTTCTTCATCATTTTGTTTCTTTTGATTACATGTATGTGTGTCGTTGTGTTGCGGTCTCAGTGACGTACATACACTCCTCATGCGAAACAAAACAGAATGATTTTGTTGTCAAAGAAATAAGGCTTTCTTTATTCACAAACATATATTTAAAGCGCCATCTCATGCAGTCGGTTGAAATCACCTTTAGCTGACCACAATACAACTTTACATTCAATTGTAATGCCGACATTTAATGTTGTACTACGAGATTAATACATGTGGTTCCTGTAAATATTCAAATGTCTAAATATTATCATAATTTAAAAAAAAAATAAAATATCAATTTGAGATAACAGTATTCTTTTATATTGTAAATTTCTCAAAAACAATAAAATTGGGATGGAAAGCGATACACCTCAATGGTTATATAAAAATTATGTTTATCATACAAGTATTTTAAAAACATTCCTGTTTTTTTTTTTTTATTATATATATCTTTATTTCTCAATAAACTAAATTACATTGGTATAGAGATACACACAATAAATATTACATAATATATATGTACAGACATACAAAAGAAATACGAAAGCAAGACAGAGGCAAATATCATAAATTACAGTATACAGATTAAACTAAATGGTTTTATGTACATGAATAATTCAGGTCTGTAATATGCATGTATAAATGCACAATTTCTGATTAGAATATTGAAATATAATACCCCAATTAAAAATATTGTATTATGACTGGAAAGAAAACTTTGCAAGTTTATAATAATTCATGGAACAAATATTGATAATGATATTACACGCTTATAATGTTTAATCGTAAGAATATTTTTGATTCATTTTATCTTTTTAAGGGACTGCCATTTGCTAGTCTGGGGAGGACAGGAGGATTTTTTCCCAGTTGATCATTTATTTTTATTTGTTGCTACGAGTGCTTATTTTTTTTGTGTGCTGCAGAATATTCATTTTCGTCCCTTTCTTGTGCAAAGTTATTTATTTTCAATTTGTACCGTGCCAAGTTATTCATTTTGAAAATCCCTCCCCTCCCCCTAAAATCAAATAGTCCTTCCCTTATTTCTTTTTTTTTAAATGAAATAAGCTGTTAATTGTTTCAGTTTACGTATAATAAATCAAATAACTCAAAAATAATGTATGTAATGATACATTTCCCCGAGTCTTAAACTGTCTATTTCGGTATTGAACAGAATATTTATTTATTTTTCTTACTGAATGACGTATAAATTTGACAATTAAACTGGTAATATACCAAAGGAAATAATCCAAAGATAGTATGTGCAATTTTCATAACTAAAATAGAAACAGTTATGTTTTATGTTTAGGGAATGAACTTTTTTTACGAGGTACCCGTTGATGACAGTGATACATCAAGAACGGCACGCGATAAGACGGTACATGGTGTTTCCCATGTCTCTGTATAATGATTCTGATCAAAAATGGCGTGTGAGTAAGAAATTATAGGTCATCATACGGCCTACAAACAACGAGAAAATCCCACCCGTATAGTCGGCTATAAATGACCCCGACAAGAAAAAATGTGACACAATTCAAACGAAAAAAAACTAATAGGCTTATTTATAACAATTCAACTTGCGAAAATCAGATATGACAGACACGAACCAACGAAAACAACTTAACTACAGGCTCCTAACTTGGGACTGGCACATACACTTAAGAATGTGGCGGGCTAAACTTGTTTCTGAGCGCTAAACCATCTCCTAACCGAAGACAGTGGTGTAATAGCGCAACATAAGAACAAACTGTAAAAATCACTTGTTTGCTTATATCTGATCAACAATAGAACGATTGTCACTTAAATTCATTTAAAAAAACATTACTGAATTACTTTTTACCAAAAAAATCAGAATTTATGTCAAGAATTTTAATCAGTAGAAAATAAAATTATATAAATACCGACCTCTAGACACGCTCTTCGAGTATATAGGTGTCTGTGATCGTATCTGTCAGGTTTCAAACAAAAATGATAAGGATCTGTTGTACAGAAAATAGTTATAATAATTCACAATCCTTTCTAAAATTGTCCGTTTATAAACTTATAAGTTATTAATAAACTAAGGTTACAACTCCCTCAGCCAAATTGACTGTAGATTGATTTGGCTTTTATTTTTAGGTCTTTTTTGTTGTCATATAGCTCTTCAACGATTCCGGTTCTTGTCCATCATTTCAAATATTCGGTTGCGCATTCCTGATGAAAGGTAAATTTAATAAAGCGCTTTGGACGTATGAAATTTACAAAGTGTTTTAATCTCTCATTTTTTACGCATTGTTGGCAAAACCTTAATAAAGAAAGGGACGTTTTATTTGTTTTATATTGTTGATAAGAAAAATAAAAAAATTCCATATTGGCAGGATGTTCTAAGATTAAAAATGTTCAAATGTAGTTTGAAATTCAAGCTTCGAAAAGAGTCAATCACAAGAAACTTTAAGGTTTACATCATGAAATCTTTACAGACCAATGCAATATATTTGAATACTTAACAAATGCTCTAACAACCTTAAAAGAAGTCAAGGAACATTGTAATGAAATCAAGAGGATTAGGAGTATTCGTTAGTAAGAAAGCAACACGAAAATATGTATCTAGCTAAATAGTGCCTAGTGCTCAACATAAGATTCTCGATGCTTGGCAAATGTCTATACAATATGTCAATCATTAAAGGTCTTCAACAATAGACACATGTCTAAGCAATATAGTAATCTCTAAATAGCTAAATACACCTTTTCTGTTGTCGTCGTTGTTACATTAATTTGTATGTTTGTTTGAATGTTTTAGTCAGTTGTGTTGTATGTCTGTGATGTATGTTTACACTATTTTGATTTGTGGATCCCATTTATTGTCACATTAACCTATTACGTCTGTTTGGGTTGCTTACCCAATTTTGTCAATATAACGAAACTATAAACATCTGTCATACAACTGGGAGGTTTGGCTAGCTATAAAACCAGGTTTAATCCATCATTTTCTCCGGAAAATGCCTGTATCAAGTCACAAATATGGGAGTTGATTTTCACTTGTTCCGTTGATTGAAAGCGTTTGATTTTGTCAGTGTTTAACGGACTTCCCCTTTTTTTAATTTGCCTTGGAGTTCAGTATTTTTGTTATACTTTTTCGCTCCGAATGAGTTGTGAATAAGTTTAAGAATATCAGTAAAAAAATATGATACATCAAAAGACAATATCTGACGAGGTACCTCACATTGGTCAGGTACATGTACATAGTTGTTTTTAAATATAGCAACCCTCACCTCTTTGTAGATTTATCACTGCATTAAAAAGGTACATACTAGTTTGAGCTCATTCATTCATCTCATAATCACTTCCAAGGTTTAAACTAATCACCAAAGATACCTGGCTGATAATTTAGTACACCAGATTTGCTCGAATACCAAATCTTGCTGAGGTCATCTATGCCTGGTGTATTCAAAAAAACTTAGTGTTTTCAATAATTTTATAAATTGTAAAGACACAGAAAGATCGATTCAATGATATTTTATGCCAACATAAGATTGCTGACTACTGAACTGCTCATACCCATTGTGGACGAAACGTCCACCAGCGGTGGTAATGACCCAGTGGTAACGTCACGTCCGAATATGAAGCTTTACTATATGAAATTCATAGTTCAAAAAAATATAACTACTTTGTTCGGATCTATAGTTGTTTCACCCGAGTTCCTTTGATAGTTGTCTCATTGGTATTTTGATATTCAAACAAGTAGGGGATTTTACAAGCCATTTACCACAAACATCATACACTCTCGTTCCGAATGACAATATCATGAATCAGGGATCACATATCAATATCATATTTTATTGATATCATGAATATTGTTGATAAAAGACAACGTAGTCATATATATTCCAATGTAAACGTACAAATCGTAATAAGCAAATTCAACCTCGGATTTATTTTGCACTTCACAATCTATTGTCTATATTTAAGAACAATGGTAGGAATCAGCTATTTTGCAAACTAGTGAAATAAAAGATTAGTAAATCACATAAAATTTTCAAAGAAAGGGATAGAATATCGTTTCATTATAGCTTATTGTTACCATAGGCTGTTCCCTCGTATTAATAAATCTGAACATGACAAAAGTCATATTCTTAAAATAAAATACATAAGCAGGTGTATTGGTTTTATTTGCTTATTTAGTATGGCTCCACCTTCCAAACTCTATACCTCCTTATTTTTATAACATAGAACCGCCTTTTAATTATCAAACGTATTAAAAAACCAGTAGCTGTTTAATTTATAATCAAACGTCAATTACATTAGACATAAAGTATAGAAAATGATTCTCCTTCAACATTGGACTACAGAAACATCAAAATCTAAATATGACCCGTATAGCCATATTATTACAGGGGACCTCAACATTGTTCAAGTCGGAAAGGTTCTAAAAATACCAAAATACCGACAACCATCGAAAACAAATAATAGTAGAAAAGAGTGTCACCATGTTATTAAAGATGAATTTTCATCCTATTGTAAAAGTTAGTGTAAACTTTTAAAAAAATCACTTGATTTTATTTCAATAAATGTATGAAAATTGTAGATATTCGCATATCACATTTCAAAAATAATTTAGATATTAATTGAATGGTTATTAATGATTAGAAATAAACTTCAAGTACTTGGAAAGGGTTTTGTGTTCATAGCGGCAACAATTAGCCGACAATGTGGTGTTGGTACATATATGACGGGAATAATACACTTGATGAATTAAGAATGACTTTAAAAATTCTTTCACATTTTAGTGACTCGTTTCACTACCAAATATCAGCGTGAGGCTTCCTCTAAACATTTGAAGGTCCACACTACGTATTGGCTACCTAAAATGTAAAAACCCGTCAACTATCGTTTCAACTCGTCTGTTTTATTAAGTTTGCCGCCATTATTAATCTTTCCTTCCTATTACACTAGTTATCTGACTGCCTTATATGAAATGTATGAATAAAATTTGTAATTAAGCATATCAAAATAATGGAATTAACTTTTTTGGAGTGTAATAAAGTCTGTTAGTGTATTAGACAAATCATTATGTGTTTGAATGTCTTTACAATTCGACTGACAGTTATGACTTTCTCTACAAGCTTTCTTGTACCAGGCTTATAATTTTGTATGTCAGACGCGCGTTTCGTCTACCAAAGACTAACAAGTGACGCTCTAAACAAAAAAGTTAAAAGGCCAAAAAGAGTTGAAGAGAATTGAGGAGGTTTTCCTGTTTGAATTGTTTTACACTAGTCATTTTGGGGCCCTTTATAGCTTGCTGTTCGGTGTGAGCCAAGGCTTCGTGTTGAAGGCCGTACTTTGACCTATAATGGTTTACTTTTTACACATTGAGACTTGGATGGAGAGTTGTCTCATTGGCA